GGGGGGGGTCTTTCCCCTGCCACAGCCAGAGCCCCCCCTGCACTGGGAACCCCCCCCCCCATTGGTGGGTCCATGTGGGGCTCTGTGAGGCTGGTGGGCACAGGGCCGAGGGGGACCCCAGGCTGTGGACAGCTCCCAGTAGAGGGGGATGGGGGTGTTTAGAGAATCTCTAGCAGCTCCCTGTGGCTTTAATCTTGACCCAGCCCTGGGCCCCGGCTCCGTGTGTTTCAGGATTTCACACTCTCCAAGTGATGTACGGCTGTGAGCTCCGGGGTGACGGCTCCACCGGGGGGTATTTTCAGTATGCATACGATGGGCGAGACTTCATCAGCCTGGATAAGGACCAGGAGACCTGGGTGGCGGCAGATGACGGGGCTCGGATCACCAAACAGAAATGGGATAAAGAGAGGAGCATCGCTCAGAGACAGAAAACCTACCTGGAGGGGACCTGCATCGAGTGGCTGGGGAAGTACCTGGAGTACGGGAAGGAGACGCTGCAGAGGAGAGGTGAGGGGGGCACGTCAGACCCCGGGGGTCACTGAATGGGGTGTATCCCCACTGCAGAGATCGCTCCCTCATGTCCATCATGGTCAGCGTTGTCCCTGGCAGCAGGGCTGTCCCTAGCTATTCTGGGGCCCTACGCAGCCCCCCCGGGGCGGGGCGGGACGGAGCAGGGGGAGCTTTGGGGGCGGGGTGGCGTGGGGGTAGAGCTGCGGCAGAGCAGGGGTGGGAAGAGGCGGGGCAGAGGCTGGAGCAGCACGCAGCTGCACAGGGCACCAGAACCTACACAGCTGCATACTTTGCGTGTGGGTGGGGACGGCCCCGCCTGGCAGGATGTTTCTGTTCCCCCATCGGGCGAGGCCCCAGCGTTGCTGCAGGATCCCGCCCTGCTCAGATTCCCCCCAGCCGAGCAGAGCCCCTCGGGGTGCCCGTGCTGTGGTCACGTGTATCAGAACCAGACGTGAGAGCGCGGCTGCACCAGGTCCCGTCCCTCTGGCCAGAGACGGGGCAGTGCTGTCCCCTGCGGTGCATGGCCAGGGCGCTGCCGGCTCCGGCTGGAAGGGAGAGCAGTCTGTGGTCACTGGGCTGATAAGGGCGGGGGGGGAACTCACCTGTTGGGTCTCCCAGTGCAGGGGGCTGAGCCGGTGCCTCCCGCGGGGGTTCCAGCCCCCTCGGCTGCTGCCGTCCCGGGGGATCCAGCTCAGGGAGTTCCCTCTAACTCCGTGTCTCCTTCCCCCCAGAGCCACCGCGGGTGCAGGTGAGCGACCGGCCGAGCCGGGACGGGCTCACCACCCTCTCCTGCCGGGTCCACGGCTTCTACCCGCGGAGCGTGGCCGTCGTGTGGCTGAAGAAGGGGGTGGCCGTGCCGCAGGAGACAATCCAATGGGGGGTGGTTCCCAGCGGGGACGGGACCTACCAGACCCGGGCCACCATCGAGATCGACCCCAGCAGTGAGACCGATTATACCTGCTGCGTGGAGCACCCCAGCCTGGCGGAGGATCTGAGAGTGCCCTGGGGTAAGGGGGGACTGGCCTGGGATGGGCAGAAGAAGTTTTTGGGAGGGTTATGAAATGGTTTTTTTCTTAATTACTATTATTATTAAGACTTTATTAATATGACTTTATTTTGTATCAAATGAACAAACAGAACTTCATGAGTAAAGTTTTATGAATGAAACAGCGTTCATTCATAAAACCAGCTATTGCAATAACCGGCTAAATGGCAATAAAGCCGCTCGTTAAGTCCCTGCAGTTCCTGCTTATTGGGAAAGTCCACAGATGTTCGGTTCAATTACTGTCCGCTTGCAGTTTCAGTTCAATTGCTGCTTGGATCGCTGGTCCTTGCTGTTCGGGTCACTGTCTTAACATTGTAACCCCCGTTCACTGTTTGCCTCCCAACATTGTAAATTGTTCATGACACTTCTTTTGATCAGGCTCCATATTGTAACTCAAACTCCATTTTTAAATGCTCACTCCACTTTGCAAACCCTGCTGTAACCTTATTAACTTAGTTCAGGTGTGTGAATGAGGGATGCATGGATAATGGAATCAACTTCCAGCCCCAGCCTGGCCTGATTAAATAGAGTTCAAACACCAAGGGCTGAAGATGCAGACAAGAGCCCTGACAAAGTAAGAAGAATCCACCCTAAAAAGAAAAGGTCCAATAGAAGGAAGATCGAAGCCCGGTCCGAGGCTGAAAGTCACGTCTGCAATGGACGGGTGATCAGTCACCAAACCCAGAGGCAGCGAGACAAAGCAAGACCCAGAGACTCTTGTTCAGACTAAAGCCTACAAAAAGGATGGGTGAGATGGGAGACTTTGGAGGGTAACGTTCTGCTGCCAACATGGAAGGGCATCGGTGCGCCCGACAGAGACCCAGCTCGTCCTTGTGCCCGGCTTTCCTGGCCAGTTACCGCCACGAGCTACGAACCCAAGCTGCGAAATCAAGCCAAGGACTCAAGCTACGTTCAGGACTGGTAACTACACAGCAGCTGCAGAACATTTTATAACAGGAGTACTTGTGGCACCTTAGAGACTAACAAATTTATTAGAGCATAAGCTTTCGTGGGCTACAACCCACTTCTTCGGATGCATATCATTTTATGTGTGTGTGTGTGTGTGTGTGTACGTAGGAATTAGCTATTAGCTGTTGATTATAAATCAAATTGTGTTCTCATAATAAACGTGGCATCTTGCCTTGTCCCCTAAAAATTAATGGAGATATCCCATCGCCTAGAACTGGAAGGGACCTTGAAAGGTCATTGAGTCCAGCCCCCTGCCTTCACTAGCAGGACCAAGTACTGATTTTGCCCCAGATCCCTAAGTGGCCCCCTCAAGAATTGAACTCACAACCCTGGGTTTAGCAGGCCAATGCTCAAACCACTGAGCTATCCCTCCCCCCAAAAAGATCCTGTGTAGTTTTATCAGCATAACAACCCACCCCGCCCGCTCCTGTCCCCATGCGGCCTGGCTCTCCTCTCACCCAGCCAAGCTTCTCCTTGGCCCAGCCCCCCTCTCCCCAGTGCCGCCCCTGCCGATTCACCCTGGGGGCACAAGGGGGGAATCAGCCCCCAAACCCTCGTCCCAGTCAGAGGTGGGCTCTGGCTCTGCTCCCTGCTGGCGTCCCCCCCCCCCGGCTCGTTTCCCCCCCCCCCCCCGCTTCATCAGGCTGGGTGCGCACGGCGCGTCGTCCCCCCCCCACTGCCTGGTGAATTCAGACCAGACACAGCCCCACTGGTACCGGTCACGCGTGGGGGCGGAGCGGCTTTCACCACCGGGGAGTCCAGCCAGCTGCAGGGCCTCTCGCTGGACCGGTCCCAGGGGCACTTGGGCACATTACCGTGGGACACCCCATACAGCGACGGTAAATCCCGATGCTGGTTTGGAGCAGCCCCCGGGCGCTGGGGAACCCCCACCGCTCCCCGGCCCGCAGAGAGGGGGGTTCCCGGCTGCAGCTGGTGCCGGTCACTGGTTGGGGTGTAAGGAGAACCAAGCCCTCGGCGAGCTCCCAGCGAGCGGAGCGACGTCGAGAACCTGCTGTCCCAACCGCGGCTGTCACTGTCGGTCTCTCCCGGCACGTTAACTCCGGGTGCTGAGCGGTCCGGGCCCCGGGCCCCGGCTCTGCTGCTCTGAGCCCGTCCCCTGATGCCGAGCGCTGCCGCCCGTGGGCTCCTCCCTTCCCCCAGATGACATGGGGCCGGGAAAAGCTCTGACCTCCCCCCTGCGTGTCTGGCCCCTGTCCCGGGACCAGCCCCAGCCACGGTGCATCGACTGACGGGAAAACCCTCTTCGTCTTCACAGACCCCCTGAGACACCGCTGCCCCTTCGCTGTCTCCTGCCAGCGGGGCAGGGCACTGGCTGTGCCAGGTCAGAGCCAGGGGCCCATCTACCCCGGTATCCCCCCACCTGCGCTGCTGCCCTGGGTCAGACCCAGGGGCCCGTCTGCCCCGGTGCCCCCCACCTGCCCTGCTGCCCTGGATCAGACCCAGGGGCCCATCTGCCCCGGTGTCCCCCACCTGCCCTGGGTCAAACCCAGGGGCCCATCCAGTCTGATACACCCCCCACCTCCACCCCCCAGACACACACTGGAAAATGGGTCCGTCTCGTTCAGCCTCCCATTCCCTGCTGCCCCAGGTCACACCCATGGGCCCATCTCCCCCAGTATCCCTCACCCCTTCAGCCCCAATAACCAGGCCCCTCTAGCCCGGTCTCCCCCCCGCCACCAGTGCCCCACACCAGCCAGCTACGTTTACAGCAGGGATAAATAGGGTGCATAGCCCAGGGAACAGGCCGGGTGTGTGGGTGGGGCGAGGGGCCAGGGGTCCCTGCGGGCAGGTAACACACTAGGGGTGAGGTGGGGTCTGTGCTGCATGGCCCCTGCTGGGCAGTGGGGGGCGCTCTGTCTCTCCGGCCCAGGTGCTCCGATAGGATCACCCCGCAGTGGGTCGTGTGGGTCGCTGGCAAGCAGGAGGCAGGTGACCAGACAGCAGGTGTGAAAACTCGGGCTGGGGGCAGGGGTGATAGGGTCAGACAAAGCCCCGAATCGCCGGCCTGTCCCTATAAACTTGGGCTATTTGCAGGGGCGGCTCCAGGCACCAGCGCTCGAAGCACGTGCCTGGGGCAGCAAGCCGCGGGGTGCGCTCTGCCGGTCCCTGCGAGGGCGGCAGTCAGGTAGCCTTCGGCAGCGTGCCTGTGGGAGGTCCGCCGGTCGCTGTGCAATTCAGCGTTGGGTACGCCGAAGCCGTGGGACCGGAGGACCTCCTGTAGGCGTGCTGCCAAAGGCTGCCTGCCTGCCGTGCTTGGGGTGTCGGAATAGCTAGAGCTGCCCCTGGCTATTTGGTCCCCCCCAGCGGGGGTCACGGGGTCACGCTCCTTCCGCCCTCATGACCGGCTCCAACCGTCCCCCCGCGCCCGGGTGATTTCTCGGAAACCGGCCGAGATCCCGGCGGGGGGGGGTTGCGGCCAGCAGGGGGTGGTGGAGCCTCGCGCAGCGAGCCGGGCGCGGTGCCAGCTCCAGCCGGGCACCGAGGGACTTTCCCGTGACTCAGCCCAGCAGCCAGAGAGCGGCCGTGGAACCGGGCACAGGGCAGCGCGGCGTGTGCGGGGCAAAGGCCTGGCTGGGGACCCGGGCACCGCCCACGGAGCTGGGGAGCTGGAGCCCTGCCAGCCTTCCTCGGGAGCCAGGACTCCTGGGTTCTCTCCCAGGCTCTGGGAGGGGAGTGGGGGCTGGTGGGTTAGAGCAGAGGGGGGCTGGGAGCCAGGACACCTGGGTTCTCTCTGCAGCGCTGGGAGGGGAGGGGGACTGGTGGTTAGAGCAGGGGGGGCTGGG